CCTGATCACTTTGTAACAATGTGCCTGATCACTTTGTAACAATGTGCCTGATCACTTTGTAACAATGTGCCTGATCACTTTGTAACAATGTGCCTCACCTCCAGCATTTTGAAATTTTTCCTCTCTGAGATCTTAACTTCATTCCAAACTACTTCCACTCCTTCTTCTGTGTCCATAGCCAAGTATGCAGCATCAATCCCTGGGACGTTACGCTGATTCACCTACATTTAAAGGGAAGAGCGGCTCGTGAGGTCAGATGTTTTACTACCAAAATGAAGCAGATATCAAAAACACCTTCCTCAAGTTTTGTGTTTTCGTCATCTTTTTTTATTCTCTCCAGCATTTTGTTTTCATCTATGCCTCATTTTATAGTTTACCTCAATGATCCACCCTTACCTCTTCTTTACGTTTCTGCCAGCGGCCACAAGGGCTCTCTTCCAGAATATATGATTCATCTTCACTTTCGTCCTCATCCTCTGTCGCTGAGATAGTACTAGGCTGGACAGAGGACACAGATGGAGACACAGAGGGTCCACTTTGTACCTGGTGGGTAGTACTGGACATGTTTCCTGATGTGAGCTCTGGCTTTCCCTCAGTACAGGGAGTTCCCCTCTCCTCTGACTCAGACATCATAACACACAGGTTCTGAGTTGAAACAAGTGACACAATGTCTCTTTCTTGTTTCTCCTATCTCTGTTTGAACGAGTCACACATCCATCTTCTTCTCAGGCAGGCTTTTCAACTACGTAGCGATCAGAAGGGAGGACTGTAAACAATAACACATATGTATAGAACGTGAGAGGGCTTCTATGTTTTTTTTTATATAACAAGGACAACGTGTTCTAAGAGGTAGAAGAGTTGAGAATCATTCACATTTATGTCCATATCGTGTGTTAATAACATCTGAATTGATTAAAAATGGCTGTTCAACATCCAAAGGTGTTTTCACGAAGAATGGATGAGTCGTTAGTGCTAATAAATTAGCTACAATTCTTTCCAAGTAGTAAGAAGTTAAGATGCATTCAGGATGCATTAGCAAAATTTGTAATTCACGTTTCCTCTCCGACTCTAGTTTCTTTACCTATAATTGTGTGTTTAAGTTACTGAGAGAGGAAGCCCTGCGCTTTACTGATAGCTTAGACGCAAAATGACATTACTGTTACAGGACACTAAATAACTCGTGTAAGTGAACTTATTTGGTTAGGTTCCTGCTAGTGTTCAATGTTAGCTTAAAGTTCAACCACCCACTCCTTGGCTAACTTTCCCCAGGCTAACAAGCTAATGAAAGGTAAATAAACAGATTGCCAACATAAAAAGTTGAACAGCAACATACTAACGTCTTACCGTGGATCACGAGAGCACCGCAAAGTTAACAAACAGCCCAGGGTTACATACTGATGGAAAAGCTGCAAAGAGACGGCAATATAAAAAATGTTAGTTCGCCATAAAAAAATGTTGCAGGGTTTCAAGTCCCTTTCGCACAGCATAAGTGGGAGGGGCGGGGCAACACTTGAGGAGCGCTTGCTTGCGCACAGAAAACGCAGAGCGGTGAGTACGTCGAATAACGCTATTTAAAAATGTTACACAAAAAGGCTACATTATTTTTGTCCAAAGCACTAGGCCGGAGTTCGAAATTTAGCTGTGTCTGGGTCCATAATTCCCCTCGATGTTGTGTGGGAGTGGTTAATATTTTTATCCGAACTTAACAACGCATGATCTAACAGACACACACAAAGAAAGAAACAAAATGTTGTGTCTGATAAAACAAATTAAATAATAACAAAAAAAGAACAATATATAGATTTTTAATATTTTAGAAAAAATAAATTATATATATATATATATATATATACATAATAGATGAATGGATGGTTGCATATAGATGGATATATACTTTGATTTTGTTTTTACTCCATCACACGATCGTTGAGGCTAAACACCATTAAAACTGTGTGATTATTTGAATTTGAGCTATTTCATATTCATATTTCCGCAACTGAAAAAAAAAATCGAGTAATCGGAAAATTCCGGTTAGGTATCTCAAATTTTCAACCTACCAAGTATATAGTTTTGTGTTTATTTTTATGCTGCACTTTTTTTTTTACCGTGCAAAATAAAATGCATTTTGCTCTGGCGACTTGTGTTGAACAACAATCCAGATAGATCCCTTAATATGAGATTGAATATAAGTTCAAAAGTTCTCACTGGGCATTGCAATTTCATAAATATGTGCTTGTATGTCATACGACTATTTTAGTAATTAATTAAACGTACGTATCTCGTGCCGTTTAGCAATACTAAATTAATTATAAATTAAAAATAATTTTCCCCTTAAAACATTGTTTTAGCGATTGGCACCACGTGGTTTCATCGAAAGCGGAAGTTGCTAGAGGGGAACTCTCTTGCCTTTTTTTTTTTTTTTTTTTAGCTGGCTCGTACAGCTGTTTCACGTTGCTAAAATCCTGCGCAACCTAGTATCCACGATTTACATCTATGCAGTGATGCAAACAAGCGCGCAGGGAAATAAAGGAATTATTGTGTGGCTGCCTTTTTGATTAAAAAACACTCCCAGCCCGTCTTCGCTCACTATGCGGAGGCTTCATGATAGCAACGCGATTCACATAGGTCGTGTATAACGGATATTTTATGGAAGGTGGAAGCAGGAGAGGCTGTGAGGCTGAGGAGTCGGGGCATCAGCTGAGCTGGGGACTGGAGCGTTAGCAAGCTAGCCTTCGTGACAGAAACGTTCATAACGGAGCAGCGACTGTTCGCTGGTTCACTTCATCATGGCCACAAATGGTAACAGTTTAACGCCTGCGATGGGAGAGATCATTCAGTTAAACGTCGGTGGGACGAGGTAAGCTTCGTCAGTGGGACACCTCAAAAGATGATGGCAATTATTTGTGAAATTTGAGCTCCTGTGGGTAATGATGTTTACATGGACAAACAGCCACGGATGTAGCTCGAGTAGACACACCACACAAGCTTGTTTACTTGATCGTTACTCCTACTTTCTTACACACGAGGGATAATGTACACACTGAAAATACACAATATATTAGTTTCATAATAAAGACATTTTTTTCTTCTTTTAGCCACACCAGTCATTGTTGTGACCACTAATTATACCTCTTGGTCGACAGATTGCCCAGTCACGATTTTAATGATGCAACTTTCTATTTTTTCACAATACTGTGTTTTGTTATAATTCATACTGCAGGTTCAGCACCTCCAGACAGACTCTGATGTGGATCCCAGACTCTTTCTTTTCAAGGTTTGTAAATGCTGCCAGACTCTTGTAAAGCACATGGGATATATTTGGTTAATACACGGAGCTGATTGCGTTACTGCTCTTCCCTTACTGCTGCTACCAAATAAGAAGCTCCACTTTAGTTGTAAATTGTGTGACTTCTCTGTATTGTCTACAGCTGCTGTGTAGAAAATGATCTAAATACATATAGCAGTCAGACTCAGTGAGCATATTACTATGCACTCATTCATATTACATAATTAATGTTAAGTATGGATGTTACATTATGTCATTTCTGCCCTACTTCATCCCGCTACAATCCCAGTGATGGTAAATATCAGGGGATTAGAATTACTATTCACTATTACCGGAAAAAGGTTCATAATAAAGTAGTCCTCAGTGCAAAAGTGTTCAATGTAAATGTTATAATAAAGGTATTGGAATGTGTGGCTTTTTTAAAATCAGATTTTAGCCTTAGAAGGAATCCTACCCTCTAAGGCTAAACAGCTGATTGGGGCTAGGCAGATACCAGAGTCGTAACAAACTCAAAACACTGGACTGGCTCACAGTTTGACAACAGCTGACCAAGTAGTGTAAATGCCTGCCAAGGCACCTGTCTGTCTGCCTGTCTATCTGCTCTGCTGCCAGCTGTCTGAAGTTTTTTGTTTTTTTTCTCATGCAGACTCTTTCAGCTTAATAGTCATAGTTAATAACAGCACACACTGACATGGTAATAATTTGTATTTCAGTGTCAACAGGCTAGCCAAGTGTTTGTTATTGTAAAATAATTGCTTGTAGTGGTGACACTGGTGGTAAGTGGAAATAGAGATGTGCTTTAGCTAACTGGAGAACTCTTGTGTGTGTCTCTTTTCCAGTTTACTGAGTGGAAGGATCTCCACTCTTCGGGATGAAACTGGAGCTGTGAGTAGCCGTTGCTTCCAAACTGGGGCAGCATCTGCAGGCACCATCCAACATCAGGGGGAAAAAAGGACATGACATTTTGTCTGTTACACATTACTGTTCTGAAGTACGATACATGATGCTGAGATGAGCAGATGAGCTGACATCCACTTCTCTGCTGTTGGATGACGCGCTGTTTTTGCAAGGCCACTTCTGACTTCATAACTTTAGTTGCAGAATTTGTTGTGGATTCTGAAAAGTGTTAGAAAATAAACAGAAATGTTCACTGTAACTCTCCAGAGCCGTGACATTTTCATTAACTCTCCAATCAAGTGACTTAATAGTTAGTCAGCTTTTGTTTGCGACAAACTACTGGATCTTCGGTCCTCACCAACTGATTTTCTGCCTTTCAGATATTTATTGACAGAGACCCGACAGCTTTTGCACCAATATTGAATTTCCTCCGAACCAAAGAACTGGACCTGCGGTGAGCAGTCTTAATGATGTTCAGAAAATATCTATTTTTTGTTGTAATTCTGTCGCTTTGTTCCTCGTAACTTACAGAACAAATATGCTGTTTGTTTCTCTCTGCAGGGGTGTCAACATCAGCGTCCTGAGACATGAAGCAGAGTTTTATGGGATTACTCCTCTGGGTATGTTGTGGAACAAAGTTTTAACAGGAAACAGAGTCAGCCAAGTATGAGTACAAACATTGTGGAAAGCTTATAATAAACCTGTTTTGCAGCCAATACATTTTGCCAGTGTTCACTCCATGTCTCCAATATCAGCAGGTATTGCATAATAGTTGAGTAGGTTGGGGTTTATTTTGGAACGAGTATAGTGCAAAGAGCTGCTGTCGTTAATGTGAAATGTTGCTCTTTAGTGAATGTTTTTTTTGAGGCTCAATTTAACCAACCTCGCAGCTGTAATAGTGTTAGTTCCACGTACTCTAATGTTGTTTTACATCCTGTTTCAGTGTTTGTAACTTCCCTGCATTGTCTCTGTACTCAAATGGGAAGCTTACCTCAGTGAAAGCTGATCACCTTGTTATATACAGAACAAAGTACTTGGATCTAATTTGAATCAAAGTGGACATGAACTTTGGCAAAACAAACTAAAGAACGAGATCCTGAGGAAAATTTCCATCAGTAAAGAAAAAGAAAATCAGCATCAGTAACTATATTAAGTAACCCATATTAATGTTATTATGATAATGACCTAATACTAATTTGCATATTGTTGCTTTTTGCTTTGTTTTTTTGTCTGCCCCTCTGTCTTTGTGTGCGTGCATACATGTGCAGTGCGTCGCCTGCTGTTGTGTGAGGAACTGGACCGCTCATCATGTGGTAGTGTTCTCTTCCATGGTTACCTGCCACCCCCAGGTAAAGACGTGAAACTGAGCGACACTGAAACTGAACTGAAAGATCATCCTTCTGAGGTTTTATTTAAAAATATCTTAAAAATGGAAAATGGAAATAACCTGCTTTTAAGTTCTAGAACAGCACAAAAGTGAAAGTCAGCAGGAATTTTTATTTATAAATTTCTGTTAATCTTGACAGCCATCCCTGCCCGAAAATCAAGCCCCGCATCAGCAGCCATTGGCTCTGCTTCAGATGAACGGCCAGGCCCTAGTGGAGCAGAGGGCTTCACCCGCGTTGGCCCCCTTTCTCACCCATCCTTCTCTGCCTCGCCTGGAACAGATGACGGCCACAAACTGGGCAAGTAGCCTGCGACATCTCTCTGAATACAGAAGATGAATAATAGTCATAATCTGAAGATTTTGCATGTGCTTACATCTATTATAGCAAATTGTGAAAACTCAGTTGTGGAATATACTGTAGGTGTAATCTCAGAATAAAAAACAAGCAGGAACTGTAGTAAGTGACTTGTCAGTAGAAACAGGAATTTGCCTTCTGCCTTCCCCAACAACTGTGCATCTACTGCATGTGAAGGAGCAAGGACAGTTATGATACAGTCGTATGTGTGGCACATCAGTATCTATATGCCAGTAAGAGAGTTCAGTTCATGTACAGTGTGTTTGTGTGTGTGTGTGCATCACTGCTGGAGCTAATATGACCTGACATCCTTTTAGCGCGTTAGTAGCACTCACTGAAGTAGCCTAGTTTCAAATTGGTCTGCTCCTTGCTAATGATGGTATCATGTGATGTACATATTAGAGGTAATAAACAGAGAGTAGAGTGTCTGGCTGCTTTTAGAGATCTGAATCACATTTTAGGTAATTTAGAAACCAATAAATGAGTAATTAGGCAGGAAAAAAAAGTCTTGCTAAGCATGCTGTGAAAGACATGAGGTTAATGGTGTTTTGTTTGTGTGTGCAGGTCCCATGGTTGACCCTAGGAAGGTGCTGATTATAGCAGGACACCACAACTGGATTGTAGCAGCCTATGCGCACTTTGTAATCTGCTACAGGTAATATTACAACATTTCTCATACAGCTCTAGCTCAAAAGTGGGACACATTAAATAATTTATAATGCACACATGCATTCATTGTCTTTTATGTCTCGTGTTTCTGAGTGCCAGCATTCAAGCTGTCATCTTTGGTTTTATTCGAGTTAAATTGATTCAAATATTAATTATAGCTGAAGCAAACAGTCCACACTGAGAGTAAAATATTATTTCTTTTTGCGAATATCCATTTTTTACAACATGGACAACCTGGTAAAAATGTTATTAGGTGTAATAAGAGTGGGTATGTACTCTCACATTTATGAAAGCTCATATATCAGACTTCTTTAATCATAACCAAATCCAACTGTTCCAGTGCAGAGGTGCATGTTTGTCACTCTCGATTTAAAAACTTAACGAGAAAGGCATAAAAATAATCAGAGGGTAAAAAGTATTTCTGTGTTCTTTTCTCTGCAGGATAAAGGAATCCTCTGGATGGCAGCAGGTGTTTTCCTCTCCCTACCTTGACTGGACCATTGAACGTATTGCACTGAATGCAAAGGTGGTGGGCGGCCCACACGGAGATAAAGACAAGATGGTGGCTGCCGCCTCTGAAAGCAGTATCATCCTCTGGAGTATCCAAGATGGAGGCAGCGGTAATGAGATAGGTAGGCTAACAAAAAACAAATAAACACAACCCCCCCCCCATTTTAAAGCTTCAGGCTAGATTTTTTTAATAGGTATACATACATACCATTTTGTATCACCCGTAACTTCCTTCAATCTCTGACTCCACCTTTAGTCTACATTCACGTTTTCCAGCTTTCTACAACTTTGTTAAAGTTCATTCTCTCCACGCGCTGCCCCAGGGGTTTTCAGTCTCGGCGTACCTGTTGACGATCTCTTCTTTATCGGGAACCAGCTGGTGGCTACCAGTCATACAGGAAAGGTTGGAGTGTGGAACGCTGTTACACAACACTGGCAGGTAGGAGAGCGTATGTGAGTAAAACACAGAGCGGGCTGAGTGCTTGTGATTTTCCTTGTTTGTGTTTATTAAAAATGATATACTGAATAATTGAATTGTGCATTTGTTTAACTTAGATTTGCTTCCCAGTGAGAGGCACTAGTACTGAACTGACTTTTAGTTCCCTTTTTTTCCTTGTTAGGTTCAAGATGTGGTTCCCATCACCAGTTGTGACACTGCAGGATCCTTCCTGCTACTGGGCTGTAACAATGGCTCTATCTACTACATAGGTACACACAGACAGGTTTATGTTTTCTCTGTCTGTCACACAGTTTATGGATTTTTTTTTATTCCATTATTCCATTTAAACCTCTTGTCAAATGCCACAGACAGAGGTGTTCCTCTCTGTGTGAGCCAAGCAGTACTGCCCTTGCTTTTTCTCTTCAAACCAGGAGCAACTTGGTAACTTTGATCCATGATGATCACTGTTGTGCCTATCAAACATTTCAGGCACTGAAGCAGATTAAAAATGAATACCTAAAAAAACCCAAAATAGTAAAATATTCTGGAACAGTTCTAATAAACACAGATGTCTTTTTGCTTCATGCATTCATCATTCTCTATGAAATGCTTATAAAACAACCATGGCCTCCCCCCCCCATCTAAAAGATAGAAATTTACTAAGAGGATTCATTCCAGGATCTGAGTCAGTGAATGATTCAGTGAAGGACTTATAAAACCCCAACAAAGACACGCTAACATGTAACCTTCTTCATCTTTTCAGACATGCAAAAATTTCCTCTGAGGATGAAAGACAACGATCTTTTGGTGACCGAGCTTTATCACGACCCATCCAATGACGCCATCACTGCACTGTCTGTCTACCTCACACCTAAAACCAGTGAGTGGGCAAGTTTTTCTTCCCACAGAAAATCTACCGTTACTTAGTTGTACATATTTATATTGTGCTTTTTGTTTTTCCACTGCTCCTACTCTCAGGTGTGAGTGGGAACTGGATCGAGATAGCCTATGGGACTAGTAGTGGAGCAGTGAGAGTGATCGTGCAACACCCAGAGACAGTAGGATCAGGCCCCCAGCTCTTTCAGACCTTCACTGTGCACAGGAGCCCAGTGACAAAGATCATGCTGTCTGAGAAACATTTGGTATCAGGTGAGGAAGGTGTTGCAGGCAGTATCCCTGTCTATGCGTGGGCTATAGAGGATTTTATAGGATAACAGCTGCCTGCATCTTATGTGGTTGTGTATTTGTGTCTGTCAGTGTGTGCAGATAACAACCACGTTCGGACGTGGACAGTAACCCGTTTCAGAGGGATGATCTCCACACAGCCAGGCTCCACCCCTCTAGCTTCCTTCAAGATTCTGTCTCTGGAGGAAGCAGAGAGTCACGGGAGCTACGGCTCTGGGAATGATATAGGTGAGAGTTAAAAAGTGTGTTTGCACTGTAATACACATGAATTTCTTTAATCCACCACTGATAAGATAAACAACAAATCCCACCCTGTGCAAAATAGGGTTAGAGTTACCGGTCATCATCATCATCGTTATTAACCTTAACTGAAAATGTATCTACCGTATACGTTGGTGAAGCTCCGTGGAGTGACACTGAAATAAACGAAACTTTAATTGTGATTAACCACCTTACGTAGTGGCTTTTGCAGTATTTGTGCAGTATCTTAACATCACTGAGGTGGCTTTTTATTCTCAGGTCCTTTTGGAGAGAGAGATGATCAGCAAGTTTTTATCCAGAAGGTGATCCCCATCACCAACAAACTGTTTGTGAGGCTCTCGTCAACTGGGAAAAGGTACAGTGCCCTGCCTCTCTGCTCCCCTGACCTTTATCTGACTTTGTTTCCTATTATCTGACATACATGATATTTTTTTTTCTTTCATTAAATGTCCCTTTAGGATCTTGGCACTTCTTTTTAAAATTTACTACCGGTAAATGACATATTTGTGTCTCAGGATCTGCGAAGTGCAGTCAGTGGATGGGACCACCATTACTTCCTTCATGGTACGGGAGTGTGAGGGCTCCAGTCGAATGGGGTCCCGACCTCGCCGTTATCTGTTCACAGGTCACGGCAATGGCAGCATCCAAATGTGGGACCTGACCACTGCGATGGACACTGCCAATAAAGGAGAAGAGAGGAAGAAAGAGGGTGAGGAAGGAGAGAGATTAGTGAAAAGCCAGAAATGTGAAGGCGAATGTTGTGTTTGTTTTAATGAAACAGTAAGTTTTTAATGAGGCTCCTCTTGTTTCTGATAGATATAGGTGGGCCTACAGAGGAGGAGCTGCTACAGCTGTTGGACCAGTGCGACCTGAGCACCTCCCGCTGTGCGACACCTAACATTAGCCCCGCCCCCTCTCTGCTACACCACACACGCCTCCGAGAGTCCTGTTCGAGGTTAGAAAGGCAGCACTCATTTATTGAGGTTACAAGCCTATATATGCCGTCTGAATTATCAGAAGATGTGTTTGAAGGAACATAAAAGACTTCTTCTTTTTCTGTCATCAGTCTGCAGTTACAGGCACCGGAGCCCATTCCCGAGACCCAGGCTACATATGGAGCTGTGCGACCCTACAGAGAGAGCCCCCTGCTGGCCCGTGCTCGTCGAACTGAGTCCTTCCACAGCTACCGGTGAAATATCATTTATCAAACACTTATACTAGAAGGGTTCAAATAAGAGTATACTAAGGTGATAACTTTAGGATTTCAAAACTTAAACCCCCCCCAAAAAAACAAAACCCAATATTGAGACTAGTAAGCAAGATTGAGTGTTTTTCTTGTGCGATTTAACCACTTTCTAAATCAGTTGTTCTTCACCCACAATGCTGTGTTTCGCCAAAGAAGAGCTCTGGCTGATGACAGAGCAGGGAGAGATGGAAACTTTGTGGTGCCTTACAATAACAGAAGCACTTGGCTTTATAGTCGCTTTGCTTCAATAACATAGTAATTTGATTATGCTCTACTAATGTAAGTTCAGGAAATGCTGAGTTGTCCCTGTTTGCATTATGTTCCATTATCTATCTAGCGGTGACTGTCTATATTATCATGCTTTCATAGAGACTTCCAGAACTTCAGCCTGACTCGAGGTGTCCTGGACAGCACAGGGCAGACCCCTGATGCCCGCCGCTCTCTTTGTGACTTTGGGCCTGAAGACAGTGAGAGGAGAGCCTCAGTCTTGGAGCTGTGGGCTTCCCGTACCACAAGTGCAAGCTGTAACACAACAGCTGGAGCGTCTGGAGTATCTGCCACAAAAGCTGAATCCAGTCAGGAATCTGCACGGCAGCCTCCAGACAGCCCAATTCCAGGAGGTGACGTCAGGAGAAAGGTACATGCTCAGTCAGAAGAAGGAGAGGCTCCTGCATTGGGAGGAGACGCGGTGAAGGTTGATGGAGGTGTGAGGAAAAGGGGAGTACTGGAAGGAAGCTTTCTTGGGAGAAAGAGGGCTCCTCCAGTTCCACACCTTGCCTCTGTCCCCTCTGGATCAGAAGGCGGTGGGAGCGACTCTTCTTCAAATGCCTCTCCTTCCCCCACCAAACTGTCCACCTCACCACGACACAGGAAGCTGGTACCTGAGCCATCCAGCCAGGACAGCAGCCTGTGAGGGCGCCTTTTCTCTTGCTCTCGGTGGAAGTTATCTCGTAGAGGTACACCCTCTAGGTGATCATGATAACAGAATTTAAGAGCAAAAGAGGAACACGAAGCAAAAAAGTAGCGACGGCCCTTTCCGCCTCCACAACAGCCTTGTTAAAGTATGGTTCAGGATGTTTGTTTCTCTTCAAATCCCACACAACAGGAGTGCTGCCATGTTATACTGAGCGCAACATAAATATACAACATCCCAACGCTAACATCACTGTCATGGCAGGAATGCTTTTCTTTCTTTTTCTTAGATTACTCACCCTCGTAAAAATCTGCCAGGTGCCAGTGATGCTCCTCCTGTCTCTGTTTGTGTTTATTTTAGGCTGTCTTACCAGATTGCTGATAATCTTTTTAGCACTTTAAGTTTTAGGCATGAATCAGATCGTTTGCTGGCTCAGTCCTGGAAAGAAAAATGCGTTTTTTCTTCCTTTTATGATGTTGCTCACGCAACATCTTAAGGAACACACAGCCACTACAAGAACAGGACAAAAGTCTGTTTGACGAGGTACGGTTAAAGGAGTGGTCGGTCACTTCTAAATGTGAAAACATGAACTAATTAACATTAATAACATACCACAGCACTAACAGTAACCATTTACCAAGATATTTCAAAGTGTTTCTAATAACCTATATCAGGTGTGCATTACTTTGTTCAGAACCTGATCTTCATATCTGTAACTAACAGTTACTTCTATTATCATATAAGTCATTTTAGATGTTTTAGTCTAAAACAGTGTCATAACATGTTACCTATCACAAACGATTTCACTTATAATGGTATAAAAAGGGAACAAATCAGTAAAACTAGACCCCGTTTGGTGATTGATCACCTGATTGGCTGACTGATCCGTTCAGCACTAGAGCAGTGGAATTGATCAGACCCCGAACCAGAGGCCACGATTATATCAAGCATCTCTGACACTATGTGCAATTTGTCGTGCAATCGATTTTTACTTACCTTAAATGTGTTACCTTCACTAGAATTCTAGCCAGATACTTGGATCCTAGAATACTTTGGGACACAGTAGTTATTGTTGTTAAAGCAACAACACTAAAAAGCCAATAGAGAGCGAGCAGTTCAAGCAGGCGATACAACTTTACAGAGTTGTATGACAGCTCAGTACTATGCAACAGTGGATTTATCATGCACACCAGAAATGAATAACTCTGGTTCCCGGGCGATTCAAACTGAAATCTACGTGGATAACGGCCTGCAAAAACGTCGAACCCCCGTGTGGATGAGTGCCTGCTTTTCACTTCAGCTGGCACAGTTTTACCCGTTAGTTCCAGTCAAGTTACGCTGTTAATCTCCTTTTATGCTAATTGCAGTTCAACAGGCTCTTTGATCCTCAAACAAGACAAAAATTGAAACAGTTGTGTGAAGCGTTGGACTGCAATGTTAAAAAATGTGAGGTATTTTATTAGACGATCTATATGTGGGATTCAAAGAAGATAATTCAGTGCTCGAAGCTAAAAAAAATTATATTTACACAAAATAGTAAAAGCAAATGTCTTTTTAGTATTTTGTGGTATAGATAGTCAAGTTCTTCTTGTCTCAACAGAGAGAAAGAACACATTTTATTGTCAGCTTGTTGTTATAGTTCACAAGTAAGAGGAACCGTTTGTGTTCCTGCTTTATCATTATTATTATTTTCACAGTGGTGCCTGTGCGAGATCACTCTAATTATTTATTTTTTTATTTTCACACTACACTCATGCTAAAACAAGGACCTACACTACATCACTTTACTCCCTTTGAAACAGGTATAAAATGTGTGTTGTGTTGAATGACTGTTGCAGTGCCTTATGTAACTTGTTTGGCGGTTATCAGTCCGTTAATGTGTTTTAGTTGAAAAAAAATTGTGACCAAATGCTTGTGAAGACGGAGTTCATTGTGGAGGCACGTTACAGACCTGCCCACGTCGCTGTTGGCTAGAATTGTGTTATGATTTTACAGCGGGATAAAATAGATGTAAAGAGTGGCATTAAATATTAAGTAATTAGGGATTTACCGATGAGTGTACTGTGAAATTCTGGATCGACAGTGATACTGATGTTTATTATGTTGTAGTTGCTTTTTTTTTTTTTTTTTAATTCCCCAATTTGTTCCAGGGAAACAAAGAAATCTTGAATATGAAAAAAGTAAGTGAACTGTTTTAAAGTCTTTCAGCTCTTCATCACACTGTCTTTAGCCAGCACTGGCAACATATAAACATTACAACACTGAGAACAGTAAATGTCCGATACGGATGTTGTGGCTGATACATGGGCACTTAACATTACATTAGCAGACTACATTGCACATAACCCTCACATGCATTAAGATCGGAAAGTCGAAACTTCCTCCCAAGATGGGGGATTTTATATATTTTTTTAAAATGTAACTTGTACTTTTAGTTTTAAGCATACCATATAGGGTTGGAAACAAAAAAATATCTGTGAGTGACAACCTTAATTAGCATAGCCATGTCCTGAAATATTAATCACACTTTTCCAAAAGCAGCAGCAATGTAACATGTTTCATTGGTAATCATTTCTGAATGACGACAGAACTGACCGTGTGCTAACGGCTTGTACAAAGATGTAACATTTTGATACATTAAGTGTGTGCAATGTGGACGTGTAATCAGAACAAAATCCTGATGCGGATGCATTGATTTGTCTAATGGTGTGTTGATGTATACGCTGTTCATACAAACATAAGGCCTATATTAATATAATCATGCTATCGGACCTAACCTGCTAATGTTTATTTTCTATAGGAACATGGAGTTAAATGAGTATTTCTGCACATAGTTATTTGTTTATCTTCTGCAGTGTCTCTTATCTGTTGCTCCTTAACCTCCCCTGGCTATGTTTACATTATATGGCAGCCAGATGCTAATGAGCTCAAAGAAATACATATCTGTTTATTTAAAAAGGCCTGTGCATTCTTGTTTTCTACATTGTGTATGCATTACGCGATATTATTTACCACTGCATTGAGTAATGATCGAATATTAACTTGCTATAGAGTCACATTGTTCGTGCAATTGAAACTACCACTGTGTTCACTAAAACGTCTGATTATACTCAGCATGTTTCGCTTCTTTCTTAAAATTACAGATTTTTTTTCATTTTTATAAGTTCACATTGTTATTCTTAAAAAATATTCAACTATTTACATAATTTACATTTATATTTAGATAGAAACATACCTTTTTATTCCAATTTACTTTATTTATCAGTGCATACGAATCATGTTTCATCGGTCTTGAACCATTTCAGTCGAGATTTCTGGGCAGATATCATCAAAGCGATATCAGGATTAATCTTATAACAAATGCTGTTTGGGTGTTTTTTAGGATTTGATATTCCTAAATGTACAAAAATTATGAGATCCTTGAAAGGAAAGTGAATTTCTGATAGTTTTACCACTTAAAATTTTGACACTATTTTTTTTAATACTATACATCGTAAGTCAGTCATGTCTGGGTAAGGTTTGCATGGATAACTAAGAGTGCGCAATTGTTGTTTTGTCTGAGTGTCACAAAGGTGTGTATGTGTGTCTCCCCAGCGCGCTCATTTCACTAACCTTCCCGTTCAGACAGTCTCCTCTCTGCGATGGCGTCTGTCGTCATTGTGATTTATGAGTTTAATAAAACCCTGAGTGCGTGTGTGTGTGTGTGTGTGTGTGTGTGTAGCTCAGGGCCATACTGTCCCTTACAATCACTCCACAAGCTCTCTTTTCACAGCCTCTCCCCCCTACTCTGTGGCTGACAATAGCTGTGAATGTGGCTGTGAATGTTTTAGAAGTGCCCTTGTCAGATTGGTGTCCTTGAGCGAGGGCATGCTTGTTACTGCCACTTTGTTAATTTCAAACTTGCCTTGATGTCCCCTCAAGGGACGCAGGAGCAAAACTAAATTACTGCTGCATAGTTTTGATGGAGACACCGGCCCTGTGTGTATTTGTGCTTGTGTTTTTGACTCTGTGTGTGTGGTAACTGAGTCCCTGTGCAGCTGGTGGCACAATTCTGTGTTATACTAACTCAGCAGAAAAGAGGATTCCTAAATCTACATTTCAGCTAGATCACCATGGAGCCCCTTTTAATAGAGTGACTTCATTCATTATGTAACATCCAGTAGCATTTAACCATTGTTAATACTGTGTGTAAACAGCAACTGAGGCACATTTAAAGTGCTACATACATTTTAAGGATTATTTCTAAGCAAGCTATTTTGCTTTTTGGAACTGTATTTCTACATTATTTTATTAATATTTAAACCTCATTAGCTTGAAGATTAATCTGGTACATTTGTGGATCTTTTAAATGCTACAAGAGGTCTGATTCTTTAAAAATTTGGTTCATAATTTGCTTGACACAAGAATACTGCATTTATTTATGGTAAAAAAAAAAACCTTAAAGAAAATGAGAGGCAAGAACACTAGAAGAATATTGTTTAGATAGTCAAATTTATCATTTACCAGATAAAAACACAACCACAGACAAATGAATCCTCTATAAATAAGACTTTTGTAAATACAACAATCATAAATAATACTGTCATCATGTAAAAAAAGAAGAAAAATAATTTTGTAATAATACAATAGGCTTCAATATTGTACACAAAACATCAAACTCATCAATATTACACAGAAAGCCAACACCTCTTATTAATAAATACTGTCTCTATGTTCAATCTAATATAAGCGATGTTTCATTTCTGCATTAAAAAAAACCCAACTGAACAATTAAATTGCCACTTTTATTTTGATCTTCTTAATAGCAGGATGAAAATTACCAAAAGCCACAAATAACACAGAATCCAGACGAATGCACTTTAAAACCCAAAAGTGTATCTTGACTTACAGCTAAGAAAGACTTGACTACATTACTGCCACTTCCTCAAAACTGAAATTGCACTGAACGGCACACACACAACTGACCGAATTTCAGACTGAGCTTTCAAGTTCACATAATCGCAACAATCAGACGGCACATCTGTGATTCCCAGCCACATTCAACACATTAAAAAAAAAAAAAACAGTTGGCATTTTTTTTTTATAATAAAACTACATCAAGCCCATGTTTCTCATTACAACTACAGCTCCTATACTGGGAAAGCTTACTAGGCATAATTACTGGTTGACGAAGAATAGACTCAGATTAATTAACATTCATTTCTATGGTGGTCTCAGGTGGTAAACCTGCTAAAGTAAATCTGCACTTTTCAAAAACGACTAAACCTCTAACAGTTGGCAAACAGTGTATCATAATACAATCAGAACAGTCCTTTAAGGGCTCTTCTGGACCGTAATATAAGCACGGTCTGATACTACACACTGGATAACAATCACGAACAGACTCGGAATAATGACCGATTTTATGTCACTGCTGACTGTGTCCACATGTGAACTGTATTCAAGTCATACACAAAGTGGGCTAAAATTATACTTATTATACTTGTATTATACTTCTATTATATTCTCTTTCCCACATTATGTTTGGTTCTGTACAACTCTGAACCTGAAATTTGTCAAAATATTAATATATATTACTTATATCCACTCACTGGCTGCTTCATTAGGTACACCTTACGAGTAATGAGTGAAACCCTCTTTTGCTTTTAGAACTACATTAACTCTTCATGGCATAGATTCAACAAGGTGCTGGAATCATTCCTAAGAGATTTTGGTCCATATTGACATGATAGCAAAACACAATGTTGTTGCACAGCCTTGATGTGCAGCAGACAATTTTTTACCACATCCCAAAGATGATCTACTGGACTGAGATCAGTGACTGTGGAGGCCATTTGAGTACAGTGAACTCCCTCTGATGTTCAAGAAAACAGTTTGAAATGATTTGAGCTTTGTGACTTGCTGAGTCAGCAACAATACTCAGGTAGGCTGTCATTTACGTTATGCTAAATTGGTAAACGGGCCCAGAAAATATCCCAAGAAAATAGGTGTCAAGAAAATTCCCCCCACATTATTACACCAGCACCACCTGCAGTCTGAACCACTGTTACAATGCAGGATGGATCTATACTTTAATGTTATTTACACTTAATTCTCACCCTACCATTGCAACAGGAATCCAAACTCTTCAGATCAGGCAACACTTGCCAATCTTCAATTAACCAACTGTGATGAGTAGCCTCAGTTTCCTATTCTTAGCTGACAGGAGAGGCACCAGAGATGTTCAGAGATGATGAGAGATGTTCTTCTACATACACTGACTGTAATGAGAAGTTATTTGAGTATCTCTCGTCTTCCTATCAGTTCAAAACAGCCTGGCCATTCTCCTCTGATCTCTACGATCAACAAGGAATTTTTGCCCAGACAACTGACACTGGTCTGAAAAACAGAAAATATAAATTTTTCACAGTTTTTCACTCTTTTTTTTTTTTTAGACCATTCTCTGGAAACCCTAAAGATGATTTTGTGAAAAAAATCCAAGTAAATCAGCAGTTTTTGCAACACTCAGACCAGCTGGTCTGGCACTAACAACCATTCATTCTCACCTAAATCCCCTTTCTTCCACATTCTGATGCCAGTTTGAACTTCAGCAGCTCATCTTGTCTGTGTCTATGTGTCTAAATGCATTGACTGCTGCCATATGATTGCCTGATTAAATATTTAGTGAGTTAATGAGAAGTTGAAAAGGTATACCTAATGAAGTGACAGAAAGTTTATGATGATGCTTTAATTAATACCTCATAACACGTGTTGTTTAACTTATAGCTTAAATTGAGTAGACCGTATTTAGCACCGCCTGTGCAAATAGCATGTAACAGTGTTTTACTAGTTTGTTTTACAACTAGGTCTGAATGGCAACTGTGAAACCTGACAGGTCTTAAAGATGAGTGTCAGTGAACATGGTGTGCTCCTTTTTCACAGAACTTAAGGCCTTGATGGCATCCACAAGCTCATCTTCCTCCACATACTGAAAAAAAAACACACAAGATCGCAAAATTTAGGTCTGAATCAAAGAAGAGGGGAAAACAATCAGAGAAACAATAAAGTAAGCATGAAAACAGCAATTTTCAGCTGCCCATATTTCTGTTTTCTGGTACAATTTCACTGATTCTGCATCCATCTAGGAATT